AGGTTTTATAACGATGATGTTAGTTTTTAGTTATAATGTTAGATTTTGCTTCTATTTTATTCACTGATTAGCTTATGGGCTACACTGCGGCGCCTCATGTTGCTTTTATTGTATCTGGCATACACACGTTTTCACTGCATCATAACAACAAAATTTATAAAGCGCCATTTCCATTTAGCCCAATGGCGCTTTACAATAAAAAAGAGAAATAGTAAAGTAAATCTGACCTAATAATGATAAACAAATATATTAACACATGATTTAAGAATATCTAATTATACACGATTAAACACACATGAGTCTCTGGCAAGGTCCATATCTATTGCTGAGAAAAAATTATCATGATAATGTACGTAAATCTACTGTACGTGAATGCTAGATAAATCTTGTGAAATCGAAAAATTCTAATGGATAGATAAAAGTATAATGAATAATTAGAAGGATCCTACTACATCTACTGTTTGAATTCTCATAGAATTTTATGAAATCAAAATATTCTAATGGATAGATAAAGGTATAATTAATAGTGATGAGGATCCTATTCTATGTATAAATGTATATTTAATGTCTCCGATTAAATGCTTTGTTGAGTAGAAAAGAAGGTGATCCAGTAGGAATTGTGGAATTCCATATATGTAGTAGAGAGTTGCAGTTGTCGAGCTTGCTGGAGATAAAAGCATGGATCAAAATTTCAGTGTCTGATTTCGACAGACAGTTTCTTATTTTCGCTATCTTACGTACTGAAATGATAAAACGATGATTTGCATATGTGTGCGACGTGCTTCTCCAGGGAGATGTTCTGATCAAAGATAGCAGCAATATTTCGTGCAGAAAAAGAGCGCTCGACTCGATCCGTGTTTACTTTGATGAAGTCAATCATTGGTGGAGGACGGTGTTGTGCATTCAGCACAAAAAATTGTCTTGTTTCGATGTAATGTAAGCTTGTTTTGTACCATCCTTGAATCGATCTCCCTAAGACATGCCTCATTGCATGCTATGTGGGCTTGTTGTTCACCGGGTATGGCTTTGAACGAAAAATAAAGCTGTGCCGTCTGCGTATAAGTGACATCTCAGCCAATGACGCTTAATGATGTCGCCAAGTGGGGTGAGGTATATAGTGCATACAGTATTGGGCCAAGTAGGGATCCCTGGGGCACTCCACATTGCAAGTCTTTGGAGTTGGACTTGACTCCGTCAATAACAACGAACTTTTTGCGGTCATGGTGTTAGGACTCCAACCAATTCAGCATTTTCCTTTTATTCCGAAACCTCTGGAGAGCACAGTTGAAAGTGACTTGTGATCAAACGTGTCAAACGCTACAGACATATCAACTAGCAAGAGCACGACGCACTTCTGGTTGTCTACTGCACAAAGGATGTCATTCTGTACTTTAAGTAGGTTGAGACTAGTTACCATGGCAACTATCGTATCGCTTAGAAACACATACTAACCTTGTTTTTTTAATTTCTTTAACTCTCTGACTCCAAACAAAAAAAATGCACTTACTCCTCTAAAAATTTATTTCACAAAAGGAAATGAAAGTGTTATTGTTACCCAATGTTCACTGTAAATGTAATAAAGTTTCTACCTACCAGCGACAATGACTGTCGTAGCTGTACGGCTCTCTCCAAACTTGTTCGTTGCTTTACATTCATAAACACCACTGTCATTAGGAACGACATCTTTTATGATAAGTATTGTGCCATTGTTCTCGAGCTGAGCGCGAGGTATACTGGTAAGTCCATCTTTAGTCCAAGTAACAGAAGCTTTAGTTTCTCCAATAACCTCACAGATCAACACTGCCAGTTCGCCAACTGCTGTAATGGTTGTTTTGGGGGACCTTTGATAAAAGGTTTACCTGAGTTTTGATAAAGATGGAGTAGTTATTCCTGAACAAAGTTCAGCACACAAAGCAGCATGAAGGCTTTGCAGCCTCTCTCATTTTAACTAAAAAATAACATGAAAGCCTCTCAGTTGATGGAAACTTCAATTTTATTACAAAAGCAAAAAGATATCCAACACAGCATCGCAGTTTCATATCAGTAAAACAATCACAGCTTAGACTACATTGAGGTAAATTTGGTTGCTTACTGCTAAATGTCTGTCAAAAGATAAGTATACAAAAAATCACAAACAAAACAGCAGTACCTTTGGTGTCAATGGCTACGAAGTTACTAGAAACATACACCGTCTGCAAAATAAAACCATAAGAGCTACTCATTCATGTGTAACCTTTCGCTGTGTTTGGTTATAGTATGGTGACTCAGGCTAGACCTCCTAAGCATTACAAGCCTGCTCAAGGCTGCTGTTATAGAAATGCATTCCGCACTAAGACCAAAAGAGCTAGTAAACAACGGTAACATAATAGTGCTGAAGCTGCTGTTACAGTGTAGGCGGGGAGAGTTCGGGAGACACCCGAGAAGAAGACCTGGAAGAGGTGGATGAGTCAGATTTGTCACTCATATTTACATTGAATGAACCGAAATCCCTTTCTAGGGATAGACGCTTTGTTAGCGTACCTCGGAAACAAAAGCCCTGAGGAACACTCTGTAGTTTGTATTCAGCTGCAGTGATTTGTTGTAATAATACTGATCACCAGTACTTCTTTTACTCCTTTCTTTACCACTGGATTGCGCTCCATCTCCAATAACAAATTCCTGATTTTTATCAAAACTTTTTCCTTTAAACTGAAAAGTGACATAAGCAGCAGGAACAGAAGATTTGTGCGCTTCTTCATACGTCATCATGTCTTGTGTTGTAAATCTTGACGGTGGTTTGACAGCACCAATATAGTTTGAGCTTAATGTAATGATGATAACGTGATAAAACCTGCAAGATACACAGCAGGATATTGGTAGTGTCAGCAGTATCTTACGGTGCCGATTGTTACTTGTCAGTTACATGTTCTTCATTTTCTTTTGCATCTTACGTGATAAGATACAAAATGTCTGATGATCACTACAGTACAAGATCTAGAGGAAACAACCCAAATCCTGAGCCTCTTCTCCCTTTTGGCAAGTTTTTCTTCTGCCATTCGTAAGCCTACGAATGGCAGAAATAAACGTGAAATTACTTAGTCGGTCATACCTTGCATTTCCAGGAATACGTGGAAGCGTGACTTTAGCAGAAATTCCTCCTCCTCTTGAATTCGTAGAAATAGAAGGCGAAGATGGCGTTTCTTTAGACCACACTACAGATGGGGAGAAGGGAAAGATGGCTCACTTTAGTCACGTAAATATAACGAAATCCTTTCTCTATACGAGAACCTGTGTGGTTACAGGTGCCCGTTAAGCATAAAATCAAAGAGCTGGTGAATCACTCGCGTTTGGCTCGAAACCATCATAATTTCCCTCTGTTTCCCAAACTTTCCCATAAGTTGTTGCAACCCTTCTGATCAACCCCTACCTTGCCAATCGCCTCACTGCAGGCTTACTTACCCAATGTCTGCACCATTGCAGGTCTACTGTAGGGTCCAGGCCCCGCAGCAGTGTAGCCTCTAACAGAGACTTCGTACTTGGCACACAAAGAGAGTCCAGGCACGAGAACATAAGTTGTGGTTGCGTTAATGATTGAATGATAGCCAGATTGGATCCCTGTACAGTTTTCTAGCACGATGAGCCTAACTTCATATCCTATGATATTACTATAGGCTACTTCTTTTGGCAGTCCAAGCCAAGTTATGATAATTTTTGAGGAGTTTACTGCAGAAGAAGATACCTCTTGTGGTCCACGACTTGGCTCTATTTGAGAAACACGAAAAACAGTCTTTATCAGGTAAATGTACTCTTGGTTGAAAAGCTAAACCAACGCGCAACAGAATGACATAACAATATTCCAAAAATATTACTCTTAAATACAGCCTGTGACGGATAATTAAAGATTAGGGCGCAAAAAGAAAAAGAAAACAAAACAAAAAAACAAAAACAAAAAAGAAAAACAGCAAAGACAAACAGATTACTATGTTTAAAACTTAAATACTTATACTTGTGATAAAAGTAGAGTTAATCAGTAATTCATACTTTACTGTATTCAAACACATGTCTTACAGCTCTGATGCATTAAGTACACTTGAAGACCGAGTTTTTTGTAGTGCAAGACACTACTTTTTTGATGGTAAAAAAGTCAAATCAAACCGGGAAAAAAACAATTAAAAATCGAATCATTTTTAAACACGAACAAGGATCACCACGATAAATTCACTACTACATGCTGTAATACATATGAATGCGTTTAGGTGCTTAGCAATTAACCTAACGGTAAATATAAAAAACCCACTGTATTCTGTGGTAGTTACAGTTATCGTCCCATTTGTTCCAGGTTTATTAGTCACAGCTCTGACATGATACTGGTAAGTCACTCCACCAAACACATCAACTGTGTGACTCAATGCATCTTTGTCTAATCCAGAATCGTCTTTAGAGGCACCTCCGTGGTGACTATAAATCACAGTGTATCTTTTAATGACTCCATTTGCTTCTGCAGGCTTGCTCCGGGACAAAGTTATTTTAGGACCATGTAAATTGCTAGGTGGTACATCAACAAAAGACAAAGACGTAGGTGCACTGGGAGCTGGAAGAACAAATATATTGTGCTTATTAATAGAAGTATGATACAGAGAGTCGCTACATACATGTTCATTAAAGCATGTTGCATTGTGTTGTAAATTGTAATATAAGAATGTACTTCTCCCCCATTTAGGTGTGGTATTGGCTTTTTCATAGGGACAATCTAAGAACTGGATTAAAATCAAGCTCATCTGAACAACTGGACAACTCAAGTCATGAAAGCAAACTTCTAAGTGCTGATTATTCGCAAGGCATGTCGAAGAAGAAGATTTTTTAATACCGGCCTGAAGTCCAAACTTGAAAGCCAACACCCTAAATCAATCATTAACATCGCCTTTAAGTCAGCAGGTATTACTGAAACGATTATTGAAATGTTAGTTAAAGCACTTCCGATTCTCACCATCTTCCATTGTTGTTGTGAAAACAGAAGAGGTGTTCGGTCCATTACCAACAGAGGTGAAGGCCAACACTTGAAATTCATATTCAGTGTATTTGTCAAGGTTGGTGACTCTTTTTGATGTATTTCCATTGTCAGTAGTCAAGGAGGTTGCTAAACCTAAGTCTTTCTTTTTATAGAACAGTTTATATCCTCTGATGATTCCATGTCTGGAGTCCTCTGGTGGTAAATGCCATGAGGCTGTAATACTGGTTGAAGAGTTTACAGTGACATTGAACTGAGAGGGAGGTCCTGAAGGAGCTGCAATAGAGCAGTCCTATTTTAATTAGCATTCAATAAATGAATCAGACTAAGTGTCATTTTCCTTGACACTATCAATAGTGGAACTGACAGCTATCACTCGGAAGTTTTCACTCAGGAAGATATCCATTGATGCCTCCTTGAGAGAGTGGCACATGCAGTCATAGAGATGTCTGAGTTGTAAAGGAAATGACCCAATATGGAGGCTTAATCAAGGCACATTTATAGTTAATGATACTGGTAATGGTAATAACAGATTTCCAACAGACGAAAGCGGAACTTGTTATCATAATTTTGCTGCACTTATTCGTTATCATCAAATTTCTTTAAAACTTTGTCTTTTGTTTGACTCCTCCCATAAGTCAATTTAAACAACTGTGGGATAACAAGTAATGTAACTGACGAATCCCCCTCGATATTACTTATTGTTACCTATTCGGTAGACACTGCAGGTTTTAACAACACATGCTACCTGTACATAGGCAGCTTTGACCGTTTTCAAAAGCGATTTTCAATATAAGAAATCTGACTGCCATATTTAACACGGACAGACTTCAAGTTAATAGCTGAATGAAATGTATATCCCTTATTTGAAACTTTAATAGTGCCACCACCCCCAATTAAACGTTGTCCCTCCCGAGCCATCATGAAACAGGACATTATAATGGACAAAAATATTATGATAATACCATGCATGTACAGACATGGGTTTACTTCTATAAAACTCAGGCAACCATATACACCTACCATAAAATTTTGTCTTGGAAGCTAGATTGACTTAGGATCTATCAAATCAGAGATAGGACAAACAAACCCATGGACCAAGTTTCATAAATTCTGTTTAGCCTCTTCTTTAGGCCTAAATACATGTATAGAGACATGTCTAGCAACCAAGAGTTTTTTGTTTCATAAAAAATAGTTAAATTCCTATTTCTTACCAGCCTCCTTTGTTTTCTCAAAAATAGCTATTTGGTCCATTCCCAACAGAAGTGAATGCCAATATTTCAAATTCATATTGCGTGAACTTATCAAGCCCAGTCACCTCTTGAGTGCGAGTTGCCTGATTGTTAATGGACTGCATGCTTGCTGGCCCTGAAATGCCTCTCCTTTTGTAGAACAATTGATATCCTGTTATGACTCCATTTCTGGAGTCTTCTGGTGGTAACTGCCAGGATGCTGTTATACTAATGGAAGTACTTGCAGTCAAAGTGAAACGACCAGGGGGCTGTGAAGTAGCTGCAAATTGAGAAGTCGCATTTTAGAAATTATAAGAATCATAACGATAAACAAAATCATTATGGTCATCATTATCTCCTTACATTATCAATGATAAAGTTATACATAAGTTTCCCACTTTTTAATGGTATTTATAATCTTTTTCCAAATACTTTTTAAATAAATTGCCTCTTTTTACATAGTCTACTCAGTTAAATTCTGTTATATAGTCAAAATCAAGAAGCACGTTGCTTATGCTTCTTGATTTAAGCGCCGCGTTTGACACTGTTGACAGTCGCATTCTCTTGCATCGCCTTCAATCTGATTTTGGAATTTCAGGTTCTGCACTAAACTGGTTTGAGTCGTACTTCTCTAACAGAACCCAGCGTATCTGTATAGACGGAGTCCTATCGAATATCTTTAATCTTGAATTTGGAGTTCCACAAGGCAGCTGTCTCGGGCCGTTATTATTTTCTCTTTACGCCAGCAAGCTTTTTAGGATCATCGAAACACATCTTCCTAATCCCCATTGTTATGCAGATGACACACAACTGTACATCGCATATCGACCAGGAAATGGCATGGTGAAATTCTCTGCCTTAACTACCGTGGAGTCATGTATCGCTGAAATTAGTCAGTGGATGCAAACGGACAAGTTAAAACTGAATGCAGATAAGACAGAATGTCTTTTGATTGGAACGCGACAACAACTTCAGAAAGTCATTAACATCAGCATCTCATCGGTTGGGGACTCCAAAATTGCTCCATCATTTGTAGTTCGAAACTTAGGAATCTGGTTTGATTCGAAGATGAGTATGCTTAGTCATATTAACAGAACTTGCTCATCCGCATTTTATCATCTTTACAACATACGTAGAATTAGGAAATAAGTAAGTTGTTCAGTTACCAAAACATTAGTTCACGCTTTTATAACCAGTAGAATAGATTATTGTAGCAGTCTACTATATAGCCTCCGGAATTCATATATGAAACTCCAACGGATACAGAATGCCGCAGCTCGGTTGGTCACTGGATCACCAAAATACTGCCATGTTACGCCATTACTTTTCCACCTTCATTGGCTCCCGATTAGTTACCGTATAAAGTTTAAGATTCTCCTTTTGACATTTAACTGTTTATATGGTCTAGCCCCTAACTATTTGACTGATTTAATTAGCATTAAAAAGCGATCCAGGTACTCTCTTAGGTGAAACGAGTATATCAAACGAAATATCCAGCACCAGGACCCGTCCAACCCTTGGTGATCGTGCCTTCCAATCAGCTGCACCTCATCTTTGGAATGCATTACCTTCGACAATTCGTAACATAAAGACATTGGACACTTTCAACACTGCTATCAAAACTCATTTTTTTAATCTAGCTTTCAAATAGATTTTTATTTTTACTCATGTTTCTTATTCACTTAGCTAGGCTATTGTTCTGCATAGACTCGCAGGTTCCAATAGGTTCTTATATCTTAGTTACTTTTGCCATAATTTTATCTTACGATATTGTAAAGCGCGACTGAATATATTCAGATAGAGGTCTGCGCTATATAAATGTTAATTACTATTATTATTATTAAAATGTTTATTTTTTCAATTAGCTAATTTACTGAGAGCATTCGCTAAAATGGTCTTAAGAATCATACTGGGAATCTGATGATATTTCATATGTCATTTCACTTGGGAAAACGTACATGTATTTGGCCTTTTATTACAAGCCATGACACTTTTAGAAGATAAAACAAAGAGCAGTCCTCACCATCTTCGCTTGTTCTCATAACAAACACAGAGCTGTTTGGTCCATCCCCAACAGAAGTAAAGGCCAACACTTGAAATTCATATTCTGTGTACTTATTAAGACCAGTGACATTTTTGTTTAAACTTGAGTTACCGTTGATAGAAAGGATGGTTCCTGACCCTGACGAGTCTTTCCTTTTGTAAAACACTTTAAATCCTTTAATAATTTCATTTCTGGAGTCTGCTGGTGGTAGTTGCCATGATGCCATAACAGCGGTAGAAGAAGTTGCAGTGACAGAGAAGTTAGCTGGAGGTCGCGAAGGAGCTGCAATTGGATAATAGTGTATTTAAGTTTACTTATTTAGCTACTAGAATATCTGAAAGCTTAATACCATACCTAAACTTGCCACATGAATATTATCGCTGTTGTGTCTTGAAAAAGTAACTAGTTGATTCCTAAACTATCTTGTTGTTTACCTCTCTCGTGTAATTTGCGAAACGAAACGAAATCAAAATCTGTAATTTTTGAAACAGAAATCTACATATAAAATCTTCAACATGAGTTTGGGTCTCTTCCATTTTCCCAGCCACCCTGACAATTTATCTAGAAACATGCTGCGCCATTTTACAGGTGTATTTTCGGTCAGGAAAGTGCCTTGTCTCGCATTCGAATAATTCATCTACAACATACATTGCTTACTCCCTTTATGCCCTACAGCTATAGCGCCAGTCATTATTTTAAATAACATTTCTTGTTTATTGCTTTCGCGTAGATATATTAATTTATTCATAAACATAGTGAGCATTTCGCAAAGAACACCACGCAGATTTTTCGTTTCTCACTTTCACTTGGACGTTTTTATTCAGGAAGATATCCATTGGTACCTCCTTGAGAGAGTGGCGCATTCAGTCGTAGAGATGTCTGAGTTGTAATTGAAATGACCCAGTATGAAGGCTCAATCAAGGCACATTTACAGTTAATGATACTGGTAAAGGTAATAACAGATTTCTTACAGACGAGATCGGAGCTTGCTCTCATAATTTTGGTGCACTTATTCTTTATCTTCAAATTTCTTTAACGTTTCTTTGGTTTGACTCTTCCTATAAGTCAATTTAAACATCTGTGGGATAACAAGTAATTTCATTAAAGAGTCTCCCCTCTATATTACTTATTCTTACCTGTTCAATAGGACATAAAATACAACACTGTATGTTTTAACCACCTATGCTACATGTACATAGGCAGGTTTGACTGTTTTGAACAATATTTTAATGGTGAGACCTCTTTTTGCTATATTTAACATGGACAGACTTCAATTTGAAAGCTAAAATTAATGTATTTCCCTTACTTGTAACTTCAACAGTGTCACCAGCCCACTTAAACGTTTTCCCTCTTGAGCCATCATAAAATAGGACATTTTAATGGACAAAAACTGTTAGAATAATACCAGGCGTGTATGGGGAAAGGTTTATTTTCATAAGACTCAGGCGAACATATACATCTACCATAAAATTATGTGTTGGAAGCTAGATTGAGTTAATATCTATTAAATAAGAGATAGGACAAACAAATCCATAGACAAAATTTCATAAATTCTGTTTGGCCTCTTCTTTAGGCCTCAAAAACATGTATAGAGACATGTCTAGCAACCAAAAGTTTTTTGTTTCATAAAAAATAGTTGAATCCCTATTTCTTACCAGCGTCCTTTGTTTTCTCAAAAATAGCTGTACTACTTGCTCTATCCCCAACAGAAGTGAAAGCCAATATTTGAAATTCCTATTCAGTGAACTTATCAAGCCCAGTCACCTCTTGAGTGCGAGTTGCCTGATTGTTAATGGACTGCATGCTTGCTGGCCCTGAAATGCCTCCTTTTGTGGAACAATTTATATCCTGTTATGACTCCATTTCTGGAGTCTTCTGGTGGTAACTGCCGGGATGCTGTAATACCAGTAGAAGTACTTGTAGTAGTCAAAGTGAAGCCACCAGGGGGCTCTGAAGGAACTGCAATTGAGATGTCGCAAAATGAATAGAAATTATAACAATCCTAACGATCGTTATCTCCTTACATTATCAATAATAAACTTATACATAAGTTTTCCACTTTCAAATGGTATTTATAATCTTTTTCCAAATAGTTTTTAAAGAAATTGCCTCCTTGTACATAGTTTACTTAGTTGGATTCTGTTATATAGTAAAAGTGCTTTTTTTTATCAATGACCTAATTTACAGAGAGCATTCGTTAAAATGGTCTTGAGGATCATATTGAGAATCTGATGATATTTCACATGTCATGTACATGCATACATCTACAAATTTGCATTTTTGGTTTCATTTGGGAAAAACATACATGTATTTGGCCTTTTATTAAAAGCCATAACACGTTTAAAAGATGACACAAAGAGCTGTCCTCACCATCTTCGCTTGTTCTCATAACAACCACAGAGCTGTTAGGTCCATCCCCAACAAAAGTAAAGGCCAACACTTGAAATTCATATTCTGTGTCCTTATTAAGACCAATGACATTTTTGTCTAAAGTTGAGTTACTGTTGATAAGAAGGATGGTTCCTGACGCTGAGGAGTCTTTCCTTTTGTAAAACTCTAAATCCTTTTATAATTCCATTCCTGGAGTCTGCTAGTGGTAATTACCATGATGCCGTAATAATGGTAGAAGAAGTTGCAGTGACATAGAAGTTAGATGGAGGTCGCGAAGGAGCTGCATTTGAATAATAGCGTATTTAAGTTTAAGTAGCTGCTAGAATATTTGAAAACTTAATGTCATACCTAAACTTGCCACATGAATATTATCGCTGTTGTGTCTTGAAAAAGTCATTATAATTACTTAGA